AATTATTCTGGCAGTAGCCACTAGGGCAGTTTCCACACCAGAAGATCAGTTACAAGGCCAAGTGCAGGTGAGACATACGTGTTTCAACAGAAAGTCTAAACTGAGTCATAAACCCAGCAAATTCATCCCTATGGGAGAAGGCGGCGGGGGGCGGGGTAGGGGTCTGGTTGAGGTCCCAGTGGTCATGGATAGGAAGTCAGCTGGGATCGGTGGGTGGTGGTGAGGCAGGGGAGAGGACTGTAGTACCAGACAGGTAAACCTCCTGCCACTGGGGATTTGGGTTAAAGAAATATAAGCAGTACCCCCAACAAGCTCGCTGCCATGCTGAAACTACAAGCAGCGGACATAGACCTCTTTCTTTTTCCAAGAGGTGGTTTGATCTTGGGATAGGACAATGCGTGCATGTGTGGGTTAAGAAGTTTCAGAAATAAAGAGTAGAAGGAGTCCAAGGTGCAGATCGAGATAACCCTTTACCCCCGTTTTCCGTTAGTAGCTGAGGCCCCTCGGAATCCCAGGGTAACCCAGAGATGACAAACCCAGTTTGGTTCCTAGAATCTTAGAAGGTTGTGTTTTTACCTTTGATGATTGAGGAGGCAAGTTATGTACATTTCCAGTGTGGCTCAAAGGGTATATATTTTGGTCAAGGCTTACATAATTATGTAAAGAATGATCACTTATATATATGAAGTGACAAACTCCAGCAGCGACAGGGCACCTGTTAGCAGAGGAGCAAGCCTGTCAATGCTTCCTTGCCTCCAGTTTTGTCTTAAAGCTCTCATTTTATTTTCTTCTTCAGAAAATTCAGCTTTTGCCCATTAGCAAGAGTTTTTTATGGATGTAGACTTTTCTCCACACCCAAGGATATGTTTTGGATCTTTCCCTATATCTGGCATCAATGAATCAGGTGAACATCAAAACTGTATAAACTTTACATCAGTCAGATAGAAGTATAGTGAAAATGACATGTTTTAAGAAAGCTGAAAGTGTGAATTATCATTGGGTGACCCTCTTTAATAAGTAAAGGAATGCAAATGAATTTGTGGCTGTGAAATAGGGCCACTCCTTGAGAATAAGGAAATAGTAACTCAAAAAGGATTTACTTCAAACTCTTGCTTCTTAAACAGTGAGTCAATAATAGTTTCCCAATTCTAGTTCAAGTTCCTATGTCACCAACACATTGCTTCTCCTCCCAGTATAATTTCCTGATTTATTTTTTTATTTCTGTGGACATAGTGGATGTATATATTTATAGGGTACATGGGGTGTTTTGATACAGGCATGCAGTGTGAAATAAGCACATCATGCAAAATTGGATATCCATCCCCTCAAGCATTTATTCTTTGTGTAACAAACAATCCAATTATACTTTTTAAGTTATGCTTAAATGTACAATTAAATAATTATTTATTATTATTGACTATAGTTGACCCTCTTGTGCTATCAAATACTAGGTCTTATTCGTTCTAATTTTTTTTTGTATCCATTAACCATCTTCCCAGTATAAATTCCTCCCGGCAGAAATTCTCCACCGATGAGGAAATTGGACATGGGATAAAGGAGTTTTGGAGGTTCCTCTCTAATCATTAGATATCTCACCCTACCCCCTTAGTAACCAGAATTTCAAAGATTAATTTTCCTGGTTTTATGGACCAAAACACAGCATTGCATTTCAGAAGTGGCCACTAATGGCCAGTCTTCAAGGAAATCTCTTGATTCTAGTGGAAAGGGGTCGTAGAATTCTGGATTGGCCAATGGCTTATAGCCAGTCATGTGGCATATCTTCAGAGGCACCTGGACAGCATTGGGCCATCTCTGCCAGATCACCACCCAGGACCCCCAGGGCCGGAGCATCCACCCCATGGCTGAAGGATGGCACCCTAGACCAGTCTGTATAACTTGAAGTATAAAAGTGAACCCTGTCCAGGAGGATGGCCAGATCTTTATGAAAGAAGATTTCTAAAGCTTTAAGCCCAGGGCTAGGATGTGCAGTTCTGGTGAGCTCGTGGGAGACTCCAGCTGCCATTCAGCTCGGAGATCTACTGATGATCATGTGGGCCCAGTCACCAAGGAGCTATGCCCTAGAATCAGTGACCCATCTGGGAAGGCTTCTTAGTTCACATAAGTCACGGGAATTGGTGAGAGCCATCTGAGTCCCAAACCCAGGCCGTTTATCCAAGCCGAGGCAGAATAGGTGAGGATCAGTTGGCAAAAAATCAGGAAGCTTCCATGAGCAATAGAGGCTTTTCTTCTTTGTGCTCTTCTTTCTTTCATTCAATAAACAGCTAATGCTCGGGAGGGAAATTTCTTTAAGGCCGATTGCCACCCAGTATCAGGGGATGCTGACAGAGAGGTGGATACGGTGGCCCTGAGAGCATAAGGCAGGGGTAGTGAGTCCTGTCTGTGTTGGTTAAAAGCAACAGGGAGAGACCAACCTGAGTTCGTTTGTTTTTTTATTTTTTGAGATGGAGTTTCTCTCTTGTTGCCCAGGCTGGAGTGCAATGGTGCGATCTCAGCTCACTGCAACCTCAGCTTCCCAGGTTCAAGCGATTCTCCTGCCTCAGCCTCCCGAGTAGCTGGGATTACAGGCATGTGCCACTATGCCTAGCTAATTTTTGTATTTTTAGTAGAGACGGGGTTTTGCCATGTTGGCCAGGCTGATCTTGAACTCCTGACCTCGTGATCTGCCTGCCTCAGCCTCCCAAAGTGCTGGGATTACAGGCGTGAGTCACCGCACCCACTGACCTGAGTCTTGAATGAAGAGTTGCTTGCCATTGTGGACAATGAGTATCCCAAGCAGGTGGAGTATGTATAAAGGCTGAGTGAGCAGAATAGACAAAGGGGTGCTTTTGACAGAAGGGGACGCTGGCACGCTCCTTCCAGATCCCTTCCCCATCTCCCCAGCTCCTCACCTCCCCTCTGCAGGCTGCGTGGTGCTGCACCAGGAAACCACTTGCTCTTCCCCAACTTCTGTGTTTTACACCAAAGATAATCTTGCTCCCCTTGTCTTCCTCACAAGTTTCTAACTGTCCTTGAAGAATGGGATTAAAAACCACCCCCCTTCACAGCCTGCACTGGCACAGACAGCCATTCCCTTTTCTTTTTTCCAAATGCACAGTCCTCAGCTGCAGTACTTTTCATGACAGGTTACATGTTAATTCTTCTGTCTTCCTTACTCAACTCTGAGTTCTTGAGGGGAAAGCACCATTTCTTAGCCATCTCTGCACCTTAGGCAGCTAGAATAGTGCTGTGTGATGTTATTTTAAATAGTTAATAAGAAATATCAAATCCCCAGTATAATCTTCCTGCCTCTGGTTATGCCAAATATCATCTCAAATTAGCCAAAGTGGGGTTCAAGATGAGCACACAAAAACATAATTCTAATGAACATCTCTTGTGTGAGGAGAAGAATCTAGGATTGAATCATTGCTTTTGACCCTTTTTACAGTACCCGTTATAAGATTCTAGAACAATCTGTGTTCTTCAAAAAAGAACAAAGGATAATATAATGAACACCCATGAGTTCTCCACATAAAATGAGCAAATGTTAACTTATTTTCACATTTTTTTAAAGAAATAAGACTGTGTGTGTGAATATATTCACAGAAATTGTGTGCTGGTGGATTTATAATTTTTTTTTCTAACCATGGAACAACGACTATCACTGTAAAAGGTGCCTATGTACATTCTCTAGAATTGAAGTTCTGGATTAATCTGAGGAAAGTGAGACATCCTTATGACACAGAGTATCTAATGGTATGGCCAGAACATATGGTACCACTTTTATTCAGGTCAGACAGATGTATTATTTCTGGATATGGGACAAAGAAAAATAAATTGTCCTCCTGGAAATGGAATATACCCAATCAGAATGAGAATTCTTGTGAATATCATTCCATAAAAAGGAAGGCAAAAAGTTCTCTTAAATCTCTATAAAATAGTTTGAAACAAAGGAAAAACAGCAACAAATAGCTCTCCGGATGTTAAAATTGTAAATGAGTGCATAGCAAATAAAAATAATCAGAAATCAGTGGAAAATGCAGTACAAAATGTCAGAGTAGAAAGAGCAAACTCTAACCTCAACAGTTATTAGAATGGCAAGCAGAAATGTAGAGCTTGCCTGAAACTGATCCTTAAGTGAAAGGGAGGAGGCATCACAGCTACTAAACAGAGTGGGTTCAAATAAAAAAAAACTAATTAGAGCCACTGCAGCAAACTGAATATGAGCACTATGGAAAATATAAGCTGATTGAAGCAGTAGAAAATGGTACCAGTGAAACAGAAGTCAAACTTGGGAAATAAAGAAGCCCCTTTCCAAATCTAAAATCCTGTGATTCCATATGTCCTAGGGAAAGTTTCCCTCTTTTGTCACTAAGAGGATTCCTTTTTCGTATAACAAAAAGCTGTGTCATTCTTCTTTTGTTTATTAGTATGACTAAATTAGATTTCCTTAAATGTTCAACTATCACTACCTTCCTGAAATAAATGTCACTAATTAATCAATTATTATTCTTTTGGATTCCTGCTGGATTCATTTCATTAATAGGATTTGGAGATTTTGCATCTATATTTACAAATGAAGTTGGATCCTTTGGGGAAGGGATGTGTTTATCGTGTGTGCTAATTTCATTTAAATGGATTAGTTTTTCTTCCCTAATCAGAGAAATAATTTAATAGCACAAAAATAGCTGTTTCTCGAAGATGCGAAACTCACTTGTAAATCTCTTTGGGCCCAATGTTTATTGTTGCTGTTGTTGTTTTTCAGGGTTTGAGTGTGTGAATTTGGGGTGGGACAGTGCGAGGTAGAGTGAGGGGAGTTCTTTTACAACATTTTAAAGAACCCTAACAGCCTTTCAAATAATTTCCAAAGTCACAGAAGTTTCAAGTAACGAGTCCAGTTATTGGGGAGGTCAAATGTAAAATAACAGAATGTGAAGGTACATAATACAAGGTAAAGACAAATAAACACCTGAGTCATGCAACACCTGCTTTTGTTTTCCTAGATCAGGAAGTGTGCTGCACCACTGGAATGAAATCTATTACTTTGTGGAACAGTTGGCTCATAAATTCATCAGGTGAGAAACACTATGCATTTTCTTCACTTGTCGTTCTGTGTCATGAGAACTACTCAGTCCACGTCTGCTATTCTATTAATTGCTGAATACTTCGGGGATGTTTTTTGACTAAGGTGGGCTCTTAGATCTTGGACCAGAGACTGTTTACTTTGTTTTCATCTTTGCCACATTTTAGAGTAACATTTGGCTTTATGTTTTTGCGAGGAGCCAGCTCTGGTTATGAGACCAAAAATATTTAGCATTCTCCCTTCTCTGTTGAATAGCCTATTCTTATTACCTTTAACATTTTTCTTGCACACTGCATCATGCAGCAGCAATTGGCACATTTTAGCTGGACTCACGTGTAGGGTGTACAGTGTGTAGGATGAATAATTCATCCCAGTTTGCCCAGAACTTTCCCAGTTTTAGCATTGAAAGTCTCACATCCTAAGGGGAACCCTCCTTAGTCCTGAGCAAAATGTGATAATTGGTCACTCTAGCTGTGTGTACTATCAGGTAGAATCCTCTGAGCATTTTCAACATCACTTTCCCAGGCAAGGCAATGCAGTTTTGAACATAGTCACTGCAAATATCATGGGAGTCTTGGACTTAGTAGTAAGGAAGTGAGGTCACTTCACCCTGCTGTGTGCAGCCTCCAAGGGATAACACAACAGTAACAGCTTTCATAGAGTGCTTGAAGCAAGTTGTCAAAGTCTTTGGCAAAATTGGTCTGATCATCATAAATTCTAACACAGCTCCACTTCATGCTGATGGCCTCCATAGAGTCTTCCAGTTGATAGGAGTGACCATAAAGTTCTTCTTTGAGTAAGGTTCTTTGTCTCAGAATACAGGTTATCCTCTGAGCCCTGGGTGGTGACAGACATGTTGCCCTCAAATTCAGTTATTGACCTCAACACATACCTACCTGCCTAATTGGAGGGAAAGGATTAGGAGGTGGCTTGTCTGTTATGCCAAAAATTGGAAGCTACAACAGGAAGCATCTAAACCCAGATGATTGGGAAAAACAGATGCTGAGAGGACAGAAGGGAGAAAAAGTACAGGAAAAGGAGAGAAACAAATACATGGGTGGTGTTAGAAAATGTTTGAAAGGATCATAGAAACTAGGAATTAAAAAGAACGAGACTTCCCAGCCTATCCTAGGAGGCATTGTGTAACTCTCTACTTGAATAGCTCTGGTGAAAACTCACTGCCTTTTGAGGCAAAAATCCAATAGTTGGACAATTCCAGTTTTCATAAGTCTTTTTGTCATTAAGCCAAGATGTCCTTTCCTCACTCACAGCCATTGGTCCTTTGGAGTGATATAAAGCAAGTCTGCCTCCACACCCTTCACAGTATCTGCTCTGTCTCTGATTTGCTCTTCTGGGCTTCTGTTCCCTCTGAAGTGGAGGAGTCTAGTGGAATAGGCTTAGAAGTCAGGCAGATGTGAGTTTGAATCTAAGTTCCATGTGCAACCATAGCAATTCACCAACCTCGGCTGAACCCTAGTTTATATATGAGGCTTATAACAGAAAATATGTGCAAGCCCACTAGTCCAGCACCTGACTTAGAGTGGGCATACAACATCTTTCTCAGTTCCCTCAGCAATCCCAGACTCTTCACTGTCTTAGAATCTTAGAAAATTGTGGGCAGGGGCAAGGAAGGGGATTAAGAGAACCCTTAATCCAATTCCCTTGGTTTATAGATGAAGAAACTGAGGGCCGGGAGGTTGACATGGCTTAATCCGGAGAAGGCACCCTTCTCTGGTTGTCTCTGCTAACCCTACTTGGCCATGGAGCCCCTCAAAATGTGGAGCCAAGATCTTACCATCATCCAAACTCCACGAGGCAGAGGCTGGGCTGTAGTCTGTTGACAGTCACAGCCTGAGTACCCATAACAGTGCCAGACACATAGTACATGCTCAGTCACTATTTTTAAATAAGTGAATGAATGGGCAATTTTCATTTATTTTTTCATTTTAATAAAAAGTCTAAGGCAGTTGAGACTGCAGGGGGAAATTCAATAACAGTGGCTGATGCCAGTATAAGTACATCATTTCTAACCTCAGTGGGAGTTTTGACATTTTGAGTCCTTTTATTTATCTTTATTCTGACCCTCTGTCATTTTTCTAATAATGATTCTTATGCTTTGCTATTTTCCTCAAGCCTTCAACCTACACCTCACACCCATCGCTATCAACAAAGAACCTCACCTCCTACTTCACCAAGAATCCAGAGAGTAGTGGACATGAGTTCAAGTTCCAGTCTACTCCTGAAAGATGCACCTATGTCCTTCCCACTAGTCTCTGAGATCCAAGTATCCCTCCCATGTAAGGCCAACCTCTCCATTTTTGTCTGATTTTATCCCATTGTCTCTAGTCTCCTCCAGGTCTTTGCTTCTGTCTTGTATTTTTCTCTACCTTTTCCCTGGCTCCTTCCCCACAGTCTACAAACGTTAATCTCTCCTGCCCCTTGTCCCAAAAAAAGCAATGACAGTGAATCTCTTGATCTTGTCTTCCTATAGATGGGACCCTATTTCTCTATTAGTTTCTCACTCACTTGTCTTTAAAGACTGGCCGTCTCCATATCCTTCTCATTCATTCCTTAACCCACTGCTATCTGCCCTCCTCCCCACCCTTCACCTGCTTGCTCGCAAGGTCTCACCAAGGGATGACCCTGAGAAAAAATCCAGGAGCCCTTTGCAGCCCTTAGTCCACTGGATGCAGGGGTTTCATTGGATCCAGACTTATCCTTCCTTGAAACCCTTTCCTCCACTGGCTCTGGTTCTGCTTCCATCTCACTGGCCTCATCCAGCCCTTCCCACACTGGTGTTGGTTTTGTATTTGGCTCACTTCCCTCCTCACTGCTGACACTCTCTCTGAACAACTTTGCCCACATCAGTACACTGAGGACTTCCAAATTATGCCTCTAGCCTAGACTTATATGCCAGTTGCCTCTTGGAGACCTTTATTTTCCGTATTTCAAATATATTATTTCCAGAGCTGAACTTGATAGAAGGGAAGCAGTATATAATGTGGCACTTAGGAGCCCAAGCTCTAGAATTAAAACACTTCACTTCAAGCCCCAGGTGTGCCACTCTCCCACTGTGTAACCTTGAGGAAATTGTTTCATCTTTCAGGGCCTCAATTTCCTTTTGTAGAAAATAGGAACGATTAGTTTGATACGAACTATCAGGATTAGTACCAATCTCATAAAATTGTTCAAGTATAATGAGATCATACATGCAAATCGCTATTATCTCACACTTGGTAAGAACTCAGTAAGGTTGGCCATTATGATATTATTTTAATCCTTGTGATTGTTGTTGTTATGATTTAGAACATGGTGTCCTGCTGCCCCAGTGCTGGGGAAGTAGTCACAGGCAGCACGGGGTCATGGACAGAAAACTGAGGTCTGTTTTAGGGACCAATGTTCAATTCACCAGGTATTGCCTGAGCTCCTGTCAAACATTAAACACCAAGTCAAGGGCTTCCAAAGGTACATCAGGCACATGGTAATAAATGCAGACTTTATCCGGGAGACGGTAGGAATTGTCGGAAATTTTATAGCAGATAAGCGACAGGTTCTAATTTTTGTTTTAGGAAAATAATTCTGGGAGCAGTGTGAAGAGTGAATTGGAGCAAAGAACCTTCCTAGGCAAGACACCAGCTAGGAAATTGTAGTGGTCAGACAATTGAGGCCAGGATCCTAAGCTAAGATACAGGAAGTGAGGCAGGTTTGAGAAACACTTGGGGAACTGGAACTATAAGGTTCAGAGCCTGATCAGGTATGGGAGGTTATTGCATTATGAAGAAATAGATTGATGTTATCATGGAAGAACAAGTTGGACACACAGAACGGCATTTCATTGCTGAATCCACTGCAGTCTGATGGTCCATCTTGCAGACTGAGAAACAAGTTCGTCCTCAGGTGAGAGTGCTTCTGTCTCCAGAGTGTGACTCTTACATTGAGAATGCTCCTGAGCACTACCATATAAAAACCATGCCAATTTATTCATTAATAATGAGAAATATAACTATCAAATGGAATAGATATTCTTATGACCAGTCAGCACATTCTCTCCTTAGAGGATAATCTCCTTGAGAAGCAAAGGAGAAATTAAAAGTTGATGGTGATCCTTTCAGATCGAAGGGAGTTTGTTTTATGATGTTAATGACTGATGGCATCAAGCTGCAACTCATCGTTAGAGAATACACCAGGCTACTGTGGAAACATTATCAAATTTTGTCTATCAGGATCCCGTTTTATAGACAACATACAGATTTGTCCCCTTGTTGGGACACACTTCAAAACACAGGGCAACAATGAAGTTTATCATTCTTACTCATAATCCACACTCACTGAGCAATGGTATCAGGTCAGAAGCAGCCTCCAGGAAGACCCAGCGTGTCTTCTCTTTGACCTACACTTCAAGTCCTCTGCTGGCTAATCAATACCCGCAGCATCAGCCTTGGAGGCCCCCTGTGGGTTATGCGTCTTCAGCTCTGGCAGCCATGATAGAAAGGGAAGGACAGGGAGGGAGCCTGAAGGGAGTAGCATGCACAGTCTTATTGTCTGTCCTAATAGAGCTTCTTTTCCTTTCCAGCCCACAGTTGAGAATGTCCTTTATTGTCTTCTCCACCCGAGGAACAACCTTAATGAAACTGACAGAAGACAGGTAAGGATACGTCTTATCCCTGTTGTTAAAAAGTCCATCACTTCCTGAGTATCCCTAAGATTTGTGATCTGGTGCCAGCCTTGACCTGTTGATCACTTAAATCTAACAGCTCCTTCTTTTACCCTAAATTTTTAATCTTACATATGGGCACATGGGTCCTGCTGCTAGTTTAATCTTCAGTTACTTTTGATAGAATTTCCTGATATTGGTGAAATTTTATAAATGATGAAATTACATTAAGATTAATCTCACATTTGATTGTTGACTTCATCTGCTAACTTGGAGCGAAATGTTGGCAAACAATATTCTTGGGGGACTATATTTTCTTTTATTTAAATTAGACTTATTTTAGATTAAGGTTTCAGAGATATAAGTGCACTGTGAGACAGGTAAGAGCTTGAAATATTTATTATTCATAATTACCCAGGCATGGAGTAGAAAGTGAGGGCTTATGGTACCACAAAATAAAAGGAAATTTAAATCAAGTACAAAAGAATGTTGTTGACACAAAGAAGTAGTTAAACTAGGTAGACCTAGCTTAACAAAAATATTTTAGGTTTTGCCACATTTTACTTGCGTATGAAAACTAGCAATAACAGACTCATGTCATTTATTCGCAGTTAGGATGGTATACTATAGAGTGGAGAGGATAGTTTACCCCCGTTTATGAAATTGTACACTTTTTAAATAGTGAGATGTCCACATGAGAGAGGCACCATGGGGGACACATGTGGGATTATTGGGAGCCTCACATATGGAAATGTTGGAAAAAGAAAAGGAGGAAGGGCCAGTACAGGGAGGGCAGGAAGACTTTATTCTCTAACATTCTTATAGAAATGAATATAGGACTGACAAGATAGAGTAAAATTTTCTGGCTGAAGTCAGCAAACTTGAGCTAGTCCCTATTTTTTTTTCCCATGGCTTTGTTCCCCATCTGTAACAAAAAGAGTACTCTGTACCATGTAGGAATTTTCAGATTCTGTTTCTCCTTCAACCTGATCTACTATATGCATGCATTTCATTTGAGATGCACAAAAACCCCATTCAAAAAACAGGAGTTTCTGATCCCTTATTACCAGAAGGAGAAACAGAGGCCACATCACCTTCCCAAGAATAGCAAACAAAACCCAGACCAGACCCAGGTTCCACATTCTTTCCAGTTTACCTTGCTGCCTTCTGTTCAACAGAGAATCATAAAATCCAAGACACTTGTGTGACTTGCCTTCAATACTTGGCCAAGGATTTTAAGAAGCTCAGAGGAGGTGTCTCTAGCCATCTCAAGACTCCTCATCTTGCTCAGTCTTTAGATGATGCCATCCTTTATGCAGAGATATTTTTTGTTCCGCAGTGGGGAGCTAAACACCCCTCTCACCTGTTCTTCACATCCTCCTACAACACGAGGCTTCCTAGCGCAGCTTCATGCTGGCTTACATGCCCCATGCATAAGAGTTTGGCCAAGAGACCAGGTTCACACATCACTTGTAGGTGCTTTGTGTGCTAATGCTCACAGCTTCTGGGAAGTTGACGGGGGCAAAGGGGTCAGGGATTTATAAACACTATCAGAATGCCAAGTCTTCCAGACTCATTGTGGTTTGTTATGCTTGTTGAGATTAGTCATCCTCCGAATCTACTTGGAATCTAATTTTTGTGTACCTTAACGTCACTACTGCTAGTTTCCTGTTCTGAAGAGAAAACAGAGGGTAGAGTCCCTGGTTTGCTGGAAGCAGCATTTCGTATGGGTCAAATGTGCATCAAACAACAGCCAAAAACGCCTTGCTGAAGGCTGTGTGGATTTCATGTGGTGACTGCTTGGCCTAGGTCAGCTGGCAAAGCACAGCGTGGTTTATGGACACACCCCCAACCTCATCAGCCTATCAAAGAAATGTGGGCAAGATCTCTCTGAAACTTTCTCAGGAGACTGGCTAAAAGAATCAGGCTTTCAGATCTTCCAAGCTAGTACTGCTTCTGAAATATATGACTTGCAGTGTTTTATTTCGTCACAGGAATTTATATTTTTCTATCTCACCTGATCTTCACAGTATCCCTATAAAACAGAAAAGGGTCCATTAAGATACCTGTATAATACTTGAGGGACGTTACAGAATTAAGAAAAAATGTGTTCAAAAGCAAGACATGAATTGGCAAAGACTTTCATTTCAGCAAAAGGTTTTGGGTAAATCAAAAGAAATAATATCAAAGATATATGGTTGATCCTTGAACAACATTTTGAGCTGAATGGGTCCAGTTATACACGGGTATTTTTCAACCAGATGCAGATCAAAAATACGGTATTCACGGGATGCAAAATCCACATATATGGAGGGCTGACTTCTAGTATATGCAGGTTCTGCAGGGCTGTCTGCAAGACTTGAGTGCATGGATTTGGTATACTCAGGGATCATGAACCAATCCTCTGCCTATACCAAGGAATGACTGTATTTGCATTCAGTTCTTGGGATCAAATAGACATAGGGTAAAGCTATGAGAAGATGAAAAAATAGAATAGAAAATAAATATAATGTGTTAAGATATAGTAAAGAAACTCCAATTAGAATAATAATGCCTACGATTTGTGTCTTTTTATCTGCAAAGCACTTTATATATCATTTTTTATTTATCCTCATATAACCATTGTTACTCTGTTTTCTAATGGGAAGGAAGTATGCAGTCATTTGAATCATTGTTACATGTGGAATGTGTCGTTTTTCTCTGTTTTCACAGTTTCTTCTTTTTTAGTTCTTAGCAGTTTGATTATTTGTGTGGGTATGGTTTTCTTTCAGGGTGCCCTATTTTGACTTTGCAGAGCTTCTTGAATCTATAAACTTGCCTGTCACCATATCTGGGGAGTTTGCAGCTACTTGAGTGGGGGTGGGGGAAATTCTGGACCTCATGGCAGTGTGGTTAATTTCTCTAGGTTTAAATTTTCCTCCCCAGTCCACCAGTTTTGTTTACTTTCCAGTCTATTTGGTTGCTTTTTCTGTTGTAATCAGCAGGTGATAAGGCAGTAGCAAGTATACTCTATCTTGGCTGCTGTTACTTCAGTTTTACAGATAAGGACACTGAGGCTCAAAAAGTTGAGGTAACCTGCCGAGGTCAAATAGCTAGTAATCTGCTGAAATAGTATTCTGATTCTGGATTCTAAATTTGGTCCAACTCCTGTACTTTGTATTGTATCATGTTGCTCTTCCGAGATTTCCTGGCTTCATCAGTTTAAATAGTTGATAGATTGTAACAAAGTTTGCAGGTCACTTCGTTAGTATAATAGAATGTACAATGTCAATTTAAGTACTATTAGAATAAAATGATGTTAACTACTGCATATGAGTCCCTGAAAACTCCAAGGAGAGTCTTGTTCTTACATTAATTGAAATACTTCAAATGTATCATCATTTGGAAATAAGACCGTATCAAGGAAGTTCAACTATTCATTTAAAAAAAACAGATGCTCAATTTAATCAAATGCAATTTTGCCTTCCGTTAAGATGGTGATATTTTTCTTTTACCTACTAGTACAGCGAATGTCATAAAAAACATTTTTAAATATTGGATTATTCTAGTATTTCTGTATACATTTGGTTATGATGTATTCTTTTAATGTATATCTGAATTCTGGTTTTTAAATATTATTTAGAAATTTAGCACCCCTGTTTATAATTGTAATTGGGCTGCCATTGTTCTTTTTGTTACTACCTTTCCTTGTAGTATTTTTTATTCTTTTTTATTTAAATTAGTACTTCTGGAATTTATTATGATGTAAGGTACAAGGTCAATGTCCAGTGTTTCTTTCCCCGATTGATTAGCCAGTTCTTCCCACACCATTGTGTAATAATCTTTTACCAACAACTTGAACAGTTAAACTCTTTGCTAGGCTTGGGTTTATTACTGGGTTTTCTATTCTGTTCTGTTTTCCTATCTGTTACTATGCTTGGATCACATTATTTTAATTAGTTTTAACATCTGGAGGACCAATCTATCCTCATTTATAATCTTGGGTGAAAATCTCCTTGGTCTTTACTGGATTTTTCCAACCACATACATTTTAAATAATTTTTTATGTTCCCAGATATCCCTGGGATTTTTACTTGAACTCTGTGAAAAATACAGACTAACTCAGCAGCAATGGCACTGCATTTTTTTTCTATACTTATTTTCTTATTTAGGGATATATCACGTCTCATTTATGTCCCTCAGTATGGTGTGTTTTTTTCCTTCAAATTAGTCTAATTGTCAACATTTTTTTCCCAGGCATCTTAAGTCTTGCCTCCACTGTGAAAGAAATGCTTTGCTGTTGTATTCTCCAAACTGCCATTCTTCACTCTTGACTGGTGAACCTATAGTTTGTGATCCATGGGCTTCTATCAAACTCCATAAAATGATTTACAAAAATGTGCATGTCAGTGGGTTTTCTGTAGGAGAGAACATGCATGCAGCCCCCATCCTCATCCCCTGCCAAAAAAAAAGCTTCAGAAATACTAGTTTTGGGGAAAACAATAGGTTTCCAACAGGTTTTTGGTAGATTTATTTCTTTTATTTTTATTATTTTTATTTTTTTAAGAGGGAGTCTTGCCCTGTCACCCAGGTTGGAGTGCAGTGGCGCGATCTCCGCTCACTGCAACCCCCACCTCCCGAGTTCAAGCAATTCTCCTGCCTCAGCCTCCCTAGTAGCTGGGATTACAGGTGCACGTCACCACACCAGGCTAATTTTTGCATTTTAGTGGAGACGGGGTTTCACCACGTTGGTCAGGCTGGTCTCGAACTCCTGACCTCAATCCACCCACCTCGGCCTTCCAAAGTGCTGGGATTACAGGTGTGAGCCACCACGCCCACCCTCTTATACCACCACTTTAATGAAACATTTTATTAGTTCTAATAGTTTTCTAATTAATTTTTAAGTGGTTTTCCAATAAGGTGATTGTAGTATCTGTGATTAATTCTGTCCTTTTTTCTAATATTTATAGCTAGTATATCTTCCTGTGTATCTTCTTACATTCTAAAATTTT